TTCCCTACATACAAACTCTGATACTCCGTTCAAACATCCTCAGAGCTGAATGCAATGGTGAATGTGGCTGTGAGTGACAAAGCCCTCAAGAATTTCTGGATGGTTAAGAAATAGCAGGGAAGGTGAGAGGGTCTCAGGGTGGGGGTGGGAAGTATAGGGGCAACTCCTGTGAGCAGCTATGTAGAAAGTCTCAGGGGTTTCTGGAGAGCAGTAAATTAAGAGTAGAGATCTCAGGGTTCTGGTCCATGGTCTAGACAACTCACAAGCAGGAAGCTGAGATTACCTCTGAAGTATCTAGGGCAAGAAAGAAATAATTTGTTTCCAAGATTCTGTATAATGCCATATGCATCATGGGAACTTGTTAAACTTGGAACCTTAGAAGTTACCTGGAAAGGTACAATGTCTTACAATTTGATTTTAAAAACTCATTTAAACTGTCTTGAAATGTACAGTTCAGTTGCATTAAGTCCATTCACGTTGTTGGTCAATCACCACCATCATCCACCTCCAGAACCTTTTCATCTTCCTAAATGAAACTCTACTCATTAAATAAGAACTCCCCATTCCTTCCTACCTCCAGTCCCTGGTAACCACTATTCTAACTTTCTGTCTCCATGAATTTGAGTGTGCTAGGTATAAATGGAATCATACAATACTTTTTCATAATATCAATGTTTTAAAACAGGTTTTACAATAGTAAGAAAAAAATAGCATTCAAACTTAAAAGTTATCTTATGAGGAGACTCTCTCAAGACTAATGCTATTTTTGATTTTGTTGCATTCAAATGTGTCACACATTGTATATACTTAAATATACATTTTACACACCTGTGAAGATATCCATACAATGTATACACAATGCAGGTGTGTTCTCCAAACACCACTCATTGCTCCTAAATTTCTTCTCACCAAAGCCTGTCTCATTCTGACTAAGTCCCAAGACTGGTCAGGTGTCAGATGCCCAGCTCTCTACCACAGGAGTGCTCAATGGATGCAGGTTAGAAACACCTGGGGGAGTTTTTCAAAAATACTCATTCCAGAGCCCTATCCCCAACTGAGTCAGCATCTCTGGGCAGGGTGCCCTAGCTTTAATATTCTGAAAAAATATCCCCATGTGAGTCTAATGTGCAACCACAGCTGAGCTCTCTTATTCCAGACAACCCCCAGAGGGGTTAGTACCAGTCTGGTGTGGAATATGATCTTTTGTAGGGTCTGAATCAGCATCTTTCTTCAGAGCATCACCTTCCCAATCCTCTCAACTTTCTGGGCACCTTTAATCCTAACCAGGCCTGCTTAGACTCTTTCC